CGCGCCCAGGATATTGCCCCGGGTCATTTTGGTTCATAAACCTGTTTAATGTGCGTAATAAAGGCTCCGTAGTCCAGATCAAGTTTGACTCAAAAGAATCGAAGCAAACGTGTTTCTGGGATGAGGGGTTATTTTATTTCATTTTCAGCCCCGTGAGAGATTTTGAAGTGCACACACCAGAAGGGAGGTGTTACCGGGTGTCCTGTCTGCCAGACTCTTCGGATTTATCTAACTATATGGGGTCCTGTGGCCTTCCATTATTTTTGAGCAATTTTACAACTTTGTAAATTGCAACTGATGTTTGTCCATAGAAATGCAAGTGAATTGTCAGCAGAATGTAAACTGACCAGTTTGGCATCGGGTTCTAAGTTTCTTTTAGCTCGCCCGTTTGCCTGTATATGTGCACTATTTGCATCGCTTCTCGAACTGGCTGTAATATCATTCTGGTTCCATTATTAATAATGAGTGAGATAAAAATTTTGACGTGTTCATTTTATATTGTGAGTCGTAATTTTACATTTTTCTAAAAATTCTCTTTTAACAATATTTTCCTCATAGTCTATATTTCTTAAACTAGAAGTATATTATCTTTATAATTAGTTAAAATTAAAACTTTCTAAAACTCCAACTTAATTAAGCATTGATTTGAAATAATTCTGAATACTTTATTTTTTAATTACAGTTTACATTCAGTAGTACTTTGTATTGGTTTCAGGTGTACATCTAATTTTGAACATTTTAGGGTGGAGACAACAGGAATCACCACCTTTCTTTTTTGAAAAATTTTTAAATTAAAAAAATTGTGGTAAAATAGGGTTAGCATAGAATTTACCATGGTTAACATTTTTAAGTGTACACGTCATTGGCATTAAGTAAATTCATATTGTTATACTACTGTTATCAGTGGGGAGCTCCCCTCCCTCCTACCCATTGCTGGTGGGAGTGAGCTTCTTGCAATATCTGGGGAAAAAGAAATTTCTGAGACTCCCATGAGAGGATGAGATATTGTAGAAGGCTTTATTTCAGTGGAATTACACTCCTGAGTTTCCAAGGTCCCATTTCCCTCTGTCCTACCGTGGAAGAAGTGCAGCTGTGACTTCAATAGGGCTAGAATGAAAGCCGTTGCCCACTTTCCATTCCATGTCTCCACAGTCTAATCCAGCAGCAGGCTAGCTTAGTTTGCATTCCCTGCTGCAGTCCATTATGTGTGGGGTCTGCAGGGCCACATGGCTATGGAGGGAACATGGGCAGGAGCAAAGCCAAAGGAACCAGAAAGCCAAGAGAGAGCTCCTCTAGGGGATTATATATTCCCAAATTTTCACAGGCTTGCATTGGCTCCACCCACTTTAGCCAATCCATGGTTCCCCAGGCTAGATTGATAGGCAAGTACCTTCCCTATGTCACCCCAACTTCACTGTGCATGTGCCCATCTTTCCCTTCGTCTGGTCCCTTCCCCTAGTTCTCTGCAGGAGTGAACCCATGGTTCCCTGGGGAGTGTAAAACTGCAGTTTCCTAGTGAAGCTGCTCAAGTGACCATGCCTATAATATCTGGCCTCCCTTTTTGCTCCTCTCCTGTTATTAATAACTAGCTAAGTACACCAGTATCACCACCATCCCCACCATCCATCTCCAGAACACTTTCATCTTCCCAAACTCAAACTCTCCCCATTTATCAATAATTCCTCATTTCCATCACCACCCTCCCATCCCCAAAGCCCTTGGCAACCACCATTCTACTCTCCGTCTCTGTGAATTTGAGTACTCTAGGTACTTCATGTAAACACAATCATACAGTATTTATGACTGGCTTACGTGACTTAGCATAACGTCTTCACGGTTCACCTATGTTGTAGCATGTGTCAGAATTTCCTTCCTTTTTAAGGCTGAGTAATATTCCATGGTAGGCATATACCACATTTTGTTTATCCAGCCACCCTTTGATGCATACTTTGTTTGCTTCCACCTTTTGGCTACTGCAAATAATCCTGCTACGAACATGGGTGTGCTAATATCTATTGGAATCCCTACTTTCAATTCTCCAGAAGGGGATTCTTAGGCTTAGGGACCCATGGGACACTAAGTCAGTGTGATCAGAAAAGTTGAAGTCCCATCAGCTCTGAGAGAACATTTTTGCTTTGAGTGCACTTTACAGCTTGTCTCTACTTTAGAACCTAAATAATTGTTACTTAGAACAGCGGAGAGACTTCATAAAGACTTTATGGGCTCTGGATCCTCTTATAAAAGTCATTTCCTTCTCACTTAGGTCTCTCTATGGGCTGAATGAGGCCCAGGTGTTACTTACCTGTGAGGAGGAAGGAATCCTGTATGTTCTGCCTCCTAAACCTCTCCAGTCATCTGCTTCTCTTTCTTCCCTGCTGCCTCCACCTAAGGCCAAACCACCCTCTCATCTTTCTCTTTAGGCTGACCCCCAGCTGGTTTCCTCTCTCCCTTCCAGGCCCTCAGAGCTGATGCTGTCAAGTTTAAATCAAATCCTGCACCTGCATTAACCCTTTACAATACCGTCCACCTTTCAGCCCCAGCCACACACTACCACTCATCACTCCCTCCCCTCCCCAGTACCATCTTCTCACCCCATAGCCCAGGAAATCTAGATTTTTTTCCCTCATTTTTTCCAGTGTTGTGCTCCCTTTGCCTCTAGATCCTTACACACGCTGTTTTCTTTCCTAGAGTCCTGCCTGCCACTTCCCAACCCCAATGCACCCTTCAAATGTTCACTTCTGTTGTGTACTTCCAGAGCTCCCTCTTCTATCATAACACTTGCCACAATTCCTTACTCCTTGAATCATCTAGTTTTCTAGTTAGTCTCTAAATTCTCTATGACAGACATCAGGGCCGTCTGTTCTACTTTGCCCTGAAATCCATCTTCTTGCCTGGCCCACAGTAGCCACTTAACCAATCAATTTTATCTTTCTGCCCGGTATTTATTCATGTAGTATCCACAGAATCCTCTTACAGCCTGGCCAAAATAGATGTAACTTGCATCTCAGTAAACAAGTTTGTTCGAATGTTTGTTTTTCCTCAGCATAGACAATAGTGACATAATGGGAAAGCTCTGGGCATTTACGACAAAGTGTAAGCCGATGAGGGTAACTTTCTATGGTAATAAAAGAAGGACTTGATTGAGCTAAGTATAGCATCTGATTATGGACCTGGGCTCTTTGTCTCATGGACTTCCGAGTTCACGGTAGGGCTGAGTGAGAAACAAAGCATGAATCATAGTGTGGCAGGAATGAATTATTGCTGAGATTAGTACCTGTCTGTGTAAGCTGATCCCCGAGCTCTATAATAGCTTTCTTTTCTGAAGAGGGGCCCTAGGGTAAGAAAAGAATCTATTTACTGTGCCCCAGGTTTCCTCATGAATAGCGAGCTCCCAGTGACTAATTCTATATATTTTTTAATTAAAAAAAATATATCTTTATCGATTTCAGGGAGAGAAAGGAAGAGGGAGAGGGAGATAGAAACATCAATGATGAGAGAGAATCATTGATCGGCTGCCTCCTGCACGTCCCCCACCAGGGATTGAGCCCGAAACCCGGGCATGTGCCCTGACCGAGAATCGAACCGCCATCTCCAGGATCATAGGTCAATGCTCAAGTGCTGAGCCATTAAATTTTAAAAAATTATTTTTAATTTAATTCTATATTTAAATTTAAAAAAAAATTTTAATTTTAGAACGAGAGGGAGATTTGTTGTTCCACTTATTTATGCATTTGTTAGTTGTTTATTGTATGTGCCCTGACTGGGAATTGAACCCACAACCTTGGCATATAGGATGACACTCCAACCAACTAAGCTACCTGGTGAGGGCCTACCTAGGCCTAGTCTTATGTGAAATGTAGAAGAGCTGAATTCTATTTTGATGTAACATCAAGTAATTCACAGAAACACATGTACTATAAATAATATGCATATATTCCAGGAAGAAAATTGGGCAGTATTCTTTTATATTTTCAAGTATTTTTCATGTGTATGCATAATACGAAACACTCTTTACATAACTACAAACAGCAAGGACAAACTTCAACATATAAATCAGTCATGAGCCTCAAAATTCATGTTTGGTATTGTCCTTGAACTTCAAGAAATATTTGCAAATATATTGTAGACTGATAACAGAATAACAATACATCCAAGTTTCTCACTTTTATATTATTTCTTCTTTCTGAAGGTCATTTTAAAAAGTATCGTGTTCATAATCATGGTGAATGCTGTGTACTTAGAAATACTAAGAATCATATTTTTCTTTTTTTCTTCCTGGTACTCTGAATACACTTTCCTGTGGTTGCTAAACAGATAAGACAATTCTATGAATGTCCTAATGTTT